GGATACCGGCACCGCCCCCGGCACCGCCCCACCGAGGATACCGGCACCACCCCCGGCACCGCCCCGCCGGGGATACCGGCACCGCCCCGGGACCACCCCCGGGACCACCCCCGGGACCGCCCGTGGGACCACCCCCGGTACAGGCACCGCCCCACCGGTGCTACCGGCACCGCCCCTGGGACCACCCCCGGCACCTCCCCGGCACCGCCCCCGGCACCGCCCGCCGGCCCCGCCCGCCGGCAGCGCGGGCACCGCCCCGCCGAGGATACCGGCACCTCCCCGGGACCGCCCCGGGCACCGCCCCGCCGGGGATACCCGCCCCCCCCCCCACCCCCCCGCCGCTGCTCCCGGCACCCCCCCAGAGACCGGCACCGCCCCCGGGACCACCCCCGGCACCGCCCCCGGGACCGGCACCGCCCCGCCGGTGCTACCGGAACCGCCCCCCAGGACGACCCCCGCCACCGCCCCCTCTCCTCCGGTGTCACCGGCACCTCCCACCTCCCCTCACCGGCGGCCCCGCCCACAGACAGCCCCTCCCCCCAGAGCCGTCAGACCACGCCCCTGAGTCACCAGACCACGCCCCCAGAACATGCCCCGCCCCTGAATTGACAGGCCCCGCCCCCCGCTGCCCCGCCCCGCCCCGCGGGGTGTCCCCCCCCCCCCCCCCCCCCCCCCCGCCGAGCCTCGGGGGTTTGGGACCCCTGTCCCAGCGCGGGTCTCGGGACGCCCCACCCCACGGGGGCTCTTGGGGTCCCCTGTCACAGAGCAGCTCTCGGGACCCCCCTCCAGAGCTGTTCAGGGGGATCCCATCTCCCCATCCCGGGTATTCCTTGGGGTCCTTTGTCCCAGAGCAGCTCTAGGGCATCTCCACCCCAGGGCGGTTCTGGTGCTACCCCACCCCAGAGTGACTCTTGGGGATCCCGTTCCCGGGCGGTTCCGGGGTCTCCTGTCCCAGATCAATTTTCGGGGACTCTCATCCCATGGGGTTCTCAGGCTCCCCCACCCTAAGGGCAGTTCTCAGGGACCCCCAGCCCGAGCTGTTCTGGGAGACCCGGTCCCAGGTGGTTCTTGGGGTTCCCTGCCCCAGTGAAGCTCCGGGGGTCCCCACATCCCACACAGCCTTCCCCGGTCCCCGTACCCCGCAATGTACTCCCTAACGCAGCCCCTCTGTGGAGAAAATTGGCAGTTCTGGGGATTTCTCCCATTTTTCAACCTGAAGGGGGTACACCTGGGGTGGACACACCCGGAGTGACTCCAGGTGCCAGACCTCGGATCCTGGAGCTTTTTGGGGTGCAAATGCGTCTCAGTTTTTCCCCGTATCATCAAAATTCTGCACCCCCCAGTAGGGATGCTGCTCCTCCCCGTGGCGATGACCCGCACGAAGAGGTGTCCAGCGGGGGCAGGGGGTGACCGGGGGGGGGATAGAGGTGTCCAGCGGAGGCAGGAGGTGACCGGGGGGGGGGGAAATAGAGGTATCCTGGAGGGGCAGGAGGTGACCGGGCGGGGGGCACACACAGGAGGTGACCTGGTGTGGGAGGGACAGAGGGTGACCCTCGCCCGGGGGTGTCCCCAGCATGTGCTAATGGGCCATTAGCAGTTCATTGTTCCCCCCGCCCAGCCCTCCCCAGCTGCCAACATCTGGCTGGAGCCGCGCTGCCCCCGCGCGGCGAGCGGGGTGCTCGGGGGATTTGGGGGTGGCCTTTCTCTCCCCTGAGCCTTCCTCCACATTCGAGGTTACCCAGGACGAGGACGAGCAGCAGGGAAACGGAGGTGGAGGGGCTCCCCCAGAACTCCTTTGGCGTCTCACCCCCACCCTGCCGGGCTCGGGGGACGCGGGGAGAACAACTCACCCATGAGACACCACTGTCATTCAGAGGGAAAATAACGGGGCACCGCGCTCCCCCTACCCCGGGAGGGTGAGGTGGAGTTTAACGAGCCTCCCTGCCCCCACATTTGTCCCCAGTGACGGTGATGGTGACAGTGCTGTGCCGGGATCTTCCTCCTTGGGGCTTCAGGCTTTGGTTTAGGGGGGTTAGAGGGATGTGGGGGTCCCCCCATGCCCCCACTCCCCAGTGAAAAATGTGTCTGGGAGAGTGGGATGGGAGATGGTGAATGGGGTGGTGGAGGGTGTCCAAGGGTCCTGGGGTGCCTGAGGGTCCTGCAATGGCCAAGAGTCCCAGGGCAGCTGAGTCTCCTGGGGTGGCTACAGTCCTGGGCCAGATGAGGATCCTGGAGTGTCCAAAATTCCTGGGTGTTCAAGGGTCCCAGAATGGCCAGAGGTCCTGGGGTGGGTGTTGGGTCACTGTTGCCAAGAGTCCTGAGTACCTGAGGGTCCCAGAGTGTCCAGGCTTCCTGGGGTGGCCATGGGTGCAGGAACAGTAGAGACTCCTGGGGTTGTTGAGCTCCCGTGGTGGCTGAAGGTCCTGGGGTGTCTGATGGTCCCACCTTAGACCCCCCAACCCCCTCCATCCCACGGATTCCCCATCCATCCATCCCATCATCACCCCCAGAGCACCAGACACCACCTGATGTCACTTCAAAACCCATTTTAGAGGCTCTCCTGGGTTTATAGGACCTACAAAAATGTTGCAAAACAGCCCAAAACTGCAGTGCTGTTGGTGCCCGTGTTATGACTTGGGGACCTGCAAGGCTGGGAGTCGCTGGGGAGTGCTGGGTGACATGGGACATTCGTGCCAATGCCAGGAAGCAGCATCATCCCACGTTATTTATGGGGAACCTGGGCAAAAGTAACACCTAAGGTAATAATTTATATTTTTTAGCATCCTGGGGCTCACACAGCTCCCTCAGACACATCCACACCCCACGTGGGAAGGGGACCCCACCACATGTACCCCTAACCATGGAGCTGTTTAGGAAGAAGGGGTAGATGTGAGCTCCCCATTCAGCACACGGCTAGAATGGCTGGAAATGTTAATTAAACACAGGGTAATAAAACATCTGGAGGGCTGGGAGCAGGGAAGGGCCGGCCAGCACGACCCCCCGCAGCTGCCTCCTGCTTTTCCTTGGGAATCTTGGGCAGGGGGGACTGGGGTCACCAGTGATTTCGATGGTACAAAAGCCTTTTCATGGAGTATTTCAGGCAAAGCAACTGAAGAACCTTTGTGGAGCAGAGCGAGGGGCTGCCGGGGGGTGGTGGAGCCTGGTGGCCCCGGGGGTTTGGGGACTGGAGGTTGGGGTTCACAGCCAGGCTGTGGGTGATGGGGTGAGATGAAGACAATGGTTTGGAGATGCTGGATGAAGCCCCATTGGGTGCCACCCCAGCAGCCCCGTGGATGCCTGTCACGGGAAACGAGCCCACTGCGTAAAAAAAAAAAGGGGGAAAAAGGTTTTTCCAGTGGGTCTGTCCTGCAGGATGGCTGGTCTCACCATGGTAGGACCATGCTCCTGCTGTGGGGAGGGATGGGGAACCCCCTCTGAGCATCCCCTGGGGAGGGGGACAGGGACACTGGGGTGAACTGGGGACTCTCCAGTGTGGTGGGACACACGGGTGGGATGGGGACACCCTGATGGGATGGGAACAACCTGGCGGGTCAGGGTCACCCTGGGTGGGATGAGGGTTCTCCTGCTACAGAGGTACCCAAATGCAACAGGGGCACCCCAGCAGGACAGGGATGATGGGATGGGGTGGGGGGCACCCTGGGATGGGGGCACTCAGGGAGGGTGAAGGTAACTAAATAGGATGGGGGGCGGGGTACGGACAACTTCAGCAGGGTGGGAGCACCCAGATGGGAGGGATCACCGTGGGAGGGATCGAGGACCTGCATGGGATAGGGGAACTCCGGGCACGATGGGGGGACCAGGGCAGGATGGGGGGGGGAAAAAGACGGAATGTGGCGGACCATGGATGCACTGAAAGCACTCAGATGGGAAGTGACCCCATGGATGGGACGGGGAGGACCCTAGCTGGGGCACCCTGGACAGGGCAGAGGACCTCTGGATAGGATGAGGGCTGCCCGGATGGGATGGGGGGACCCCGCACGGAACGGGGGACCCCGAACGTGCGGGGAGCGCCGGGCACGGCGGGACCGGCCGGCGCCCCGTGGGCGCCCCATGGGCAGCGGGGCCGCTCCGCCGGCGGGGCCGGTGCGGAGTCGGCGGCGGGACCCGTGCGGGGCCGGCGGGGCGGTGCGAGCCCCTGCCCGGCCCCCGGTGTCGGTTTGCATCCCGGCTCCTCCCCGCCCCGCCGCCCCGCGCATTCCCGACCCTCCGGGCGGCGGCAGCGGCGGCGGCGGGGCCCGGCGGGGCCGGGGCGGGACCCCACGATGCCGCAGCTGGAACCGACGGGGGGGGACGACCTGGGGGCCCCCGACGAGCTCATCGCCTTCCAGGACGAGGGCGAGGAGCAGGACAAGGGCGCGGGGCGCGGCTCGGCCCACGGGGACCTGGACGAGCTCAAGTCCTCGCTGGTCAGCGAGACCGAGAACCGCGGGGGCCCCGGCCCCGGGGGCGGCCCCGGCCCCGAGGTGAGGCGGGGGGCGGCGGGAAGCCGGGGGGACGCGCCCCCCCCCCCGCCCCCCCCCGCCCCCCGCCCCTCCCCCCCGGCGGGGCGGCCCCCCCCCCCCCGGGAAAGGTTCCCGAAACCCCGGGGCCCTCTGGGGAAAGGGCCCGGCCCCCCCCCCCCCGGCGCCCCCCTTCCCCTCCCGCTCCCCGCTGCATCCCCCGGGACCAGCCGACACTTCCCAACTTCTTTGTTTCCGCCCCCGGCTGCGGGCGGGACCCCCCATGTCCCCCCCCCGTCTCCCCTCGTGTGTCTCCCGGTTCCCCCCACCGTGTCCCCCCCCGTGTACTCACCCTCCCATATTTCGCCCCCGTGTCCCCCTGCTCCCCCCGTGTGCCATCCCCGTGTCCCCCTAATTCCGACCCCCGTGTTCTTCTCCCTGGTGTCCTCAACACCCCGTGCCCACTCCGTGTCCCCGTAATTCCCCTTCCATGTCCTCACCTCCCCCCCCCCGGGGCCCCCCCCCCCCGCCCCCCCCCCCCCGGCCCCCCCGGCCCCCCCCCCGCCCCACGGAGGAGCCGGGCTCGGTCCCCCCCCACAGCT